TAGTGACAGCATCTAACTGCTTGGCTGAGTTGGTTCACTACCATTTCTGGCACTCAGCAAACAAAAATATTGGAATATCTGTTGACTAACTTCAGTAACTGAAGAGGAAATTCAGGAAATCACATGCTCGACATAGCATTATAAATAGTTTTGTGTGAGCAAGAAAATGAAAGGGAGACCTGACTCTCTCTCTCTCTCTCTCTCTCTCTCTCTCTCTCTCTCTTTCTGAGGACGAGGGATTCGCCTCCAGATCTGGAGTGGGAGGGGCAGCGATACACACACACACACACACACACACACTCTGCCCCATTAGTGTTATCATTCTTGGGGCAGTTCACAACAAACAATAAAATAAAACAATAAAAGCAAAATGTGATAAATAGAATAAAATGCAATAAATAAAATAAACCCTGGTGCTAGCTACGTAAATCAATGAACCTACCTTTAAATAGAATTACACAAATTAAAACTCATTTGAGCATCTCAGATCAATATTCACTAGTAGAAAGCAGCTTTATGATAAGTATTGGGGAGATGGCTAATCCCTGCAGGACCCTGTAATGGCAGTCCCAAGAGCAGGACAACACCTCTCCAAGCTGTACCATCTAGGATCAGCCCTCAAGAAAGGCCTAAAGCGACTGTAAAAATGAAGCTCCCAAATCCCACAGAGAAGGTCAGGCTCTATATCAAAGAAGGTGTTTAGGGGCAACTTTGTCTACACCTTGACTCACTTCTGAGTACCAGTGGGTGACCAGAGCATTGACAGGAACATTAATCATCATCTGGTAGGGTGTTTTTGGGTCATGGGGAGAATGATACAGCAACACCAGTCCCATTCTGTTCTGGTCGTCCAGCATGAGGTGAAGACACTCCAGACATAGGCTCAACAGGAGATTGTGCTCATGTTCATGGAGTTTCTATTGACTGTGGTAATGCCCTTACTTCACCCCTCTAACCTACTATGATGTTGGATCAAATATTCTGAGGGGTATAACTGGGAAAGAACTATTCTTCCTTCTTCTCCCACCTAGGTTTCAGTTATACACACCAGGTCAGCCTTTTCATATTCTCTAAGATCTAATATTAATTCAAATTTAGTTTGGACCAATCTAGTGTTTAACAACAATGGGTGCAGATCGAAGGTTGGCTGACAAAATTGCCTTGATTCTGCTTGCTGAGAGGAGCACCAGAGCATGGGACAGATACTACAGATCAGGGGTGTGCTCATAGCTCCTTGCGAATAGTATTATTTGCTGCCGAAGAGCACACTAAATTAGTACAGTATCATTACTGTTTTAGAGTCATGTGTTAACATAATAAAATCCAGTGTGTGGCCCATAGCTGAGAATACCCAGTGCACAGGGTAGAATCAAGAACTATACACTTCTGAATGCCCAAATTTGCTTGCAAACATTTTCTGTATCTTGTCATTAATCCTATGTGTCTTCATTCTGAAGTAAAATCCACTAATTCCAACAGGGATTACTCCCTGGTGAGTGTGTTTGAGGGTGTAGCTGGAATTTATTTTGTTTCTGAGCACACAGATAGTAAAAAAACGATATATCAGTATAAATAGCTGCCTTTTCACCATGTGTTAACAAATGAGGAATACTGTATAAACACGAGTCTCACAAAACAGACTTTACTAGGAGAATGCTCCAATGCTCTAATTTCTTATTCTCTTACTGTCATATAAAATGGAATGCATATTAGATGCATGTACAGTATAAAGGCAAAAACAACAGCTTGCTACTACAGTGAGTATTGGCTTAAACTTGTAGACGTGATATGTACTGCTAGTACAGTTGTCTGATAAAGTATTCACCAGTAACAGCACAGATGGCTTTGCCCTAAGATTAGACCTCACATGCCAGACATGATCTGGGAAATTGTCATTTTAAAAATAACTTTCAAACAAGTGCCAAGTTCTGAGGGATCCATGTGTCTAATAAACAGAGAGAAACACAGTAATGCTGATGCTGGAACTTAGTCACCAGGATTATATTATGGCCATGTAACCTGGACAGAATTGTCACCTCGGTTCAACCAATAAAAATGTCTCACAATCTCACAATTTCCTTAAAGACTTTAGCTATTGACAGGTTCAGCTTCTTCTTATTCTTCTTTTCATAAATGCATTTAACTGTCCCAAAACACCTACAGAAAGTGCTCACTAACACAGCACGCAAACTCCTGTTGCATAACTTTGCACTCAGCATAATCTTGATCAGGTGATGGAAATATTTAACTTAATAATTAACTAATTAAAAGCTTCCTGTGCTCCCATTTTTTATTCTGAGGCTTCCTAAGGGTCACCTTTGTTTTGGGATCTTTGAGGAGGTGGGGAGGAAGTCTTTAAAAGTCAAAAACCATTGCTGCATCACCACCACTGGGATCAGAACTATTGCAGACAATCTGCCTGCACTTTTAGACATTAAAGCACCATGTCCAATTTTGATGCTTTTTTCAGGGCAAAAGGGAGCCCTAGCAAGCCTCAACACTTATAAAAGGGAGGTAGGAAGCTTTTAATTAGTGTAAATAAATGTTTCCAATCCTCACTGTGGTGTAGTGGACAGAGTGATGGACTAGGATTCTGGAGAAGAGGGTTCAAATCCCTGCTCGCCATGGAAACTCACCAGGGTTGTGGAACTGGTAAAACTACTCCTTAAAGATCTCACTTGCCTTGAAAGCCTATTGGAGCCACTATAAATTGGTTCCAACTTGATGGCATGTAACACACACACACAAATGTTTCTAGTGCCCAATCCAGATTATCCTGGGTGCAAAGTTATGCAATAGGATTTTGACCAATGTGTTGCTAAGACGCCAATGATGTTTTCCTCATAGCTATGCTGCAGTGTCAATAGAGCAAGTGAGGCATGTGTTACAGTTAAGAAGAGGTCAGAGACCAAGTGGCAAATGAGAAGGAACCCAAAATATTTAGAAATGGCCTTTATGAGGCAGTGGTAGAGGAAGCTGGCTAGGAACATGGGCATTGCTGCAGTACTCAGCCATCTACAAGATGGTGTTCCCTGAGTTATCTCATCCCCACACGACACACATGTAAGGGCAGAACTTGGAAACATGACTTGTTTGGACCACAATTCTCAGAGTCCCAGAGGCAACATAGCCACTGGCCATGCTAAATGAAGGAAAGTGGGAGCTGTAGTCCAATAATAACAATAAAATCCCAAGGTGCTTCAACATGGAAACACCTCTCTTGTATATTCTGCTTGCAGCTATTACTTGTCTCACACACTGAAGCCCATACCTCAGCTACTGCTTAGGGTCTGTTCTCATATGCCACTTTTGGAGCTCATTTTTATATCCTTTTTCCTTTCTCTTTTGCCCTCCATAGTTTCCAAACATCACTGTGCTTTATCACAAGAACAAGTAAAAAGTGCATAAAATATACAGTAGAACCAATTAAAATACCAGTGAGGCATTGTGCTCAAGCATATTAAATTTTATCATTAAGGTAGCTAAGTCCTCCCCACCTTTTAAAACAGTGGTTCTTAACCTTCAGTTACTCAGATGTTTTTGAACTGCAACTCCCAGAAATCCCAGCCAGCACAGCTGGTGGTGAAGGCTTCTGGGAGTTGCAGTCCAAAAACACCCGAGTAACCCAAGGTTAAGAACCACTGTTTTAAAACATCATATCAAAGGCCCAAAACATTTGACTATCTGAACTGAATGGGCCCATGAAACAGCTTGAAATCCCACTGGTATCTGTTTCATTTCAATATCCAGCAGTCTCAGTAATAACTTCATTTTCCCTTGATGCGATTTCATACATTCATAATAATAATAATGATACATACTATATGATTTTATGATTCTGCACACTGCATCAAGGTTTTGGAATGTGTTCAGATGTGATCTGGAGCAATTTGTGCCTAATCTCATTCAAATGAAATTGATTTGTAAGCCTCACATTTATTTGTATTGGAAACCTGTTACTATATAACTATTTTGGGTTTTTTTCACTAATGTACATGAAATCTGGAGATGTGATAGACCCTAAAGAGGACAGTAAACCTGAGAAATTTTAAACAGCTTGCCTCAAACATTTACATGTTAGGGATATTTAAAACTTGTGTTTAGAAGAAAAGAAAAAAAAGACTGAAGTGATTTTTTAAAATGCTGCATCTAATTCAATTTGTGCTTGAAAAACAAATTTGTTTGTAAATTGGCTTTGTTTTAATCTAGCTATCCCACTTCAGATCTCATACAAATCATGCCAGTGTGCTTAGAAATTCAGGATTTATCCATATCCATTGAGTGGCCCTGATGATGATCATTATCATTACTAAATTATCATAACTATAAAACACATATGAGCAGTTGGATGTTTTGTACCAAAGAGCTCTGTCTTTGACATAGCACCTCTGTTGTAGAGGAGATGGATGTCCTATACACACTTTCATAATATTTTGAATCTAGTGACAGTAGCACAGTCTTTCATAAGTAGGTGTATATACCTGCAGATATAAATACATATGTGTGTATTCCCATGTATACGTACACATGTGTGCATATATTTAATTCATCTTTGCTTTTTTTCTGTTGGAGTGAAGCATAAAGATTTAAAGAACCAGGCTACATTTTCTGGTCAGTGTTACACTTCAGCTTTTCCAAAAGAGTGAGTGGTGCATGTGTCACTGGCAAATGGCAACGAACCCCCTCCTCCATTTACTCCCCCTTTCATTCTTGAACGCAAGAATGTTGATCTCTCACCCCAGTGAGCTGTCACCTGTCTAAATCTGTCCTCATGTCAGATGCATATATGGAGAAAGTAAGAATGGCAACCAATGACGTTCAGCTTCCAAAATAGACCTATCTCTCTTCTGCTTTCCCTCAGTTAAAACAATGTCGTCCAGGAAAACTCCTGCATAGGACATTTGATCTTGCAGGGTTTGGAATTCTTTCAAGGGACCTAACCCGGAAATTAGTCCACGGCACCCTGATTTTGAGCCTTTGTTTATTGGAATTACTGGGAGATGAGCACCTCTCTTAATTATAAGTCTTTTTCCAAAGAACAGCAAACTATGGATAACTTGGAAAAACAGCTTATTTGTCCCATATGCTTAGAGATGTTTACTAAGCCTGTGGTTATCCTACCATGTCAACACAATCTCTGCAGAAAATGTGCCAGCGATATTTTCCAGGTAGGTTTATTTAACTTTTTAAAATTCAAATAGACATTAAAAATAAGCTCATGTTACAAAACCAGGAGGTTATCATTGTGTCAACTGTTTTGCTTTAAATAAAGAGAAACTGAAATAGGAAAATAAGATTGATTGTTGCATATTTTGAGCGTGCTTTTGTATCCCTTGAATTTGGAAATGCCCTCTTTAATTTGAGGCATATCCTTGAATTATTAGCTCAAATAATTAGAGATAATAATTGTAATAGAATGTCATCAGATCAATTTTGAAATATGGCAACGCTTTCCAGGTTTTCTGGCCAGAGAATACTCAGAAGTGGTTTACCATTCCCTCTTTGTGGGGACATCGTGCGACTGTGCAGCTCACCCAAGGCTGCACAAGCTGGCTCTTCTTGCAAGAGGCACAGTGAGGAATTGAACTCACAACCTCTGGCTCTGCAGCCAGATATTTTCCTCACTGAACACTCTAGCCAATGGGATTAGAGATACTAAAATATAAACCCATTCTTGTTCTCTTCCAACACTTCTAGAAATGCCAAGTTTCTCCCAGAAACCATTATATTATTAACTGCCAAAACACTCAACAAAAATTACCCTGAGGTTGTTTAACTCCCTTTGTACTTTTCTGGACAATATTTCCACAGTAGGTAGGTAACCTTGGCTTTGATGACCTATGCAAAGTCCAATAAGCTCATATGTGTGAATAAGAGAAGGCATTAGATCATTTCTTAAGCAGATAGTGCGATAGGGTTCTTGTGATATGGATGGGAAAACAGTTGTTTAATATTATTGTGAAATAATACATGCTTGGCTTTACAACGTTGTTTTGTTGCTTGGCAAGAACAGGCCTCGAACCCATATCTACCAACCAGGGGAGGTACCACTGTGGCTTCAGGAGGTCGATTCCGCTGTCCATCTTGCAGACATGAAGTAGTTCTGGACAGGCATGGAGTCTATGGTCTTCAGAGGAATTTGCTGGTAGAAAACATAATTGATATATACAAACAAGAATCTGCCAGGTAATGAACTAATTTCTGTCCTTGAAGGATTTTCTGCTGATGCAGGTTCTGTCTTGTTCTGCCATAGAAACACACGGCAAGTCTTCAAACAGAGAATTCTGAGACATTCAAAAGATTTTAGCCATAGAATGAGGTACTCTTGCCTATAGCCTCTCCTTTCCCTTACATAGCCATTCTTCTTCTTCACGTCAGCCAGAACTGTATAATCCCAGATGATGATGGAAGGAGAAGACAATAATAATCACAATCAACACCAGACCACATTAGAGCATTCTGATCTCCCTAGAAATAACTAGATTCCACACATCTTCAGCTTCCTGCATTGTTGAACTTCTGATATTAGTTATGCTTTGTCATATGTCACTTGCTTTATCTCTTTATGAAAAGCTTCCTCCTCCAATACCTCATATACTAGATACAGCACATTAGGGTTGTGCACAACTCATCTGATCCAATTTAGGTGCTTGTTCAGCACATGAGATCAGGGCCCAATTCAACTAGTATGAGCTGGCCCCTCTCTAACCAATCTGAGTCTGGATCCAGGTGGATATTCAAGCATCCAAATAACTGGAACTCCCATTCACTGGAATGGAGGCATACAAACAGCTCTAATCATGTTGCAGTAGTAACAGAATGCTAACCCAGATAAGGCAAGTGGCAAATTGAAAATGAAAATCCTCCAAACGTATAAAGTGGTGGGAGAAGGAAGGAGAAAGAAAGACAAATTTTACCTAAAACTGAAAAATCACTAAAAGCTCAGACAAGAAAGCAAGCACCCAATGAAGCCAACCACACACTCACCCCTAAATCAAAAGGAAAAGGAAAAAAGTCAATGCAGTACTTACCTAACCTAGCACCTAAATGAACTACGCAAAAAATGCAAGCTGAGAGTATAGTGCTTTCCTACCTTCTCAACAACTGGGGAATGTAAGAGAAGTTCTTTGTCTTTACCTAGAGGTGGCTAGCTATTCATTCATTCATTCATTCATTCATTCATTCATTCATTCATTCATTCATTCATTCATTCATTCATTCCTTGGGAAAACTTTCTTAAATGAACAGGTATGTGGAGTATTTGTGAAAAGCATTCTCCCTTTCAGCTGACCTTCTAGGTATATATGTTTTTCTATGGAAAAGCATTACATGAGGTGAGAAACATTCAGTCATATAAGCCGGTTAGAGTATGTCTTCAGATGAGTGTGTATCTCAGTGCTGATTTCCTCTGATGGGCTTACCTGTTAGGCCAGAACAGCACGGACCATGAGAAGACAATTAAGGAGCCCAATGAGTGAATTACAGGACAGCTCCTTTTTGTGGCTTTTCATTAACACTTTGCACGCACAGACAAAGATTGGGGCACAGACAGCTCTACTGGCATCCTAATCAGACAAGCTGGCAGGCAGGCAGGCAACTGAGAGGGCAAGGAAACTCCTGCCACCTTGGACAGAGTGTGAAATGGGACAAGATACCTCCCCAACACAAAAGGGAAAGCAGTCTGACATGGGGAAAATATATCTCTATCAGATGCAAAAAGGAATGCAGTTTTGAAGGAAGAGCCTCTCTGAAGAGACATGAATGGGTACTACTTGAGAGGACTGAATGGAAAGAGAATTCTGACAGAGCCAATAGGGAGCAACTCAAGAGGGTCTTGGCTTCAGGAAAAGTGCAGGAGCTTTGACACACATACCCTAGCAATATGGTACAACTACACCACTGCTCAGGGTGTGTGTGTTTGAGATGCACCTACCATCTCAAACACTCAAAGCCATCAGGAAAAGGCAGACTTCTATCACCTTGTTCAATCATCCCCTACACAGCTAAGCTCAGCATGCTTAGAGGGTAGTAGCCAGTTCCCCCCCTCCACCATCACCACTTTCTACACATGGATAGTAACAGGTCTGTGAGGAAGGCATGCCTGTTCATATGTAGGTTCTACATGCAAGAAGGAACTCCAGTTCCCCAGTGTTCTTGCTTTTGTGTGGAGTCTGCACAAGAACAGATAATTTCCCTTCAGACTTTCCCCTTTTCCACATATAGAAAGAGGGAAGAGAGGAAAGGCTAGAGCTTATCTGTGTAGGAACCAACTGAGGAGCACTTATAAATTCAAACTGAACCAAGAGTTATGCTGTTGAAACTTTATGCCGTATTATGTTTGCCCCTGGTTCCCTCCTCCCTGATCTTTCAACTCTTTCCGCTCTTTTTGAGAACAATTGTTGCTCTGAGATGTTGGACAAAATTTGAAATGTTTTTTTCAGTCATCAGTGCTAGGCAGCTGACACTCATGTTTTCATTATTACAATGGATGCTGTATTATTATCATTCTTATTTCTTGTTATTTATGCATTTACCTTTCCCCCAAAATAACTACTATGAAATTATGGGGAAGTGGGGAGGGATACAATTTCATATTCTTGTCTTGCCCACAAACTTAGGGAGTCAGAGCTCTGCTTTTAATAGCTGTAGGATTTCATCAGGTGCACCTCCCTTGTAATGCTGCAACCAATGGGAGGAAGAATGCCAAGTGAACTTCACTCCATATGTAGCATCGCAAGGCAGGAGCACAGCTCTCACTGCAGTATTATTAATATGCAAAAGAGCATATGGAATTGGACTGTATTTATCCTAGACAAAATAAAAAGGCATAAGATCAACAGGAAGAAAGTAGTAAGACAGATATACTTGGATTTAGCAATTGTTATGAAAACATGGGTGGATCTAGAAAGATTGTTTTAACCTTCATTTGTGTCCTTAAGAGTAAACTAATTATCAAGGGAATTGACAGTGGTCATGCATAGCTTTATCTGTGCTATTTGACACCATCTAGCCCTCAGCTGCTTACTTCCATCTTGTCTTTTTCTAAATTACCATGAATATAAAGTCCCTGGAAAGGGAGGGGCCTACCTCCACAGGCAACTCACCAAATGAATTTATAAATGCCACTCTCTGTGAAGTGCTAGAATGACATCTGCAGTAGCATAAAAAAGGGAATGAGGCAGCTGAAAAGACAAAATGAGGCAGCTGGGAGGAAGTGGAAGTGAACAGGTCTGCCCCAAGAACAATTCAATGCATCCATGCTACTCTGGTCAGCTTATAATTTTCTCTGATTTTAAAAATCATTTGTGCTGCTTATCATAGTATAGTGCTTGTATCTTGTCAATTTTGCCTCATAATTAAGCCATGAACTATTGATTTGTGCATAGTACAATGGGCATAAAAAGAAACATGAGGGTGAAATGACACATTAAAAGAAATGTGTAATTACCAGAACAATAATATTGTTCTTCAAGATATACAGTTCCTTCAAAGCTCCATGCCTGAGTCCCCTGAACTGCAAGGAGATCAAACCTATCCATTCTGAAGGAAATCAACAGAGTGCTCACTGGAAGGACAGATCCTGAAGCTAAGGCTTTAATGCTTTGGCCATCTCATGAGAAGAGAAATCTCCCTGGAAAAGGCCCTGATGTTGGGAAAGAGCGAGGGCAAGAGGAGAAGAAGGTAACAAAGGATGAGATGGTTGGACAGTGTCATCAAAGCTACCAACCGAAATTAACCAAACTCTGGGAGGCAGTGGAAGACAGGAGGGCCTGGCGTGCACTGGGCCATGGGGTCACAAAGAGTTGTACATGGCTTAACAACTAAACAACAACAACAACACAATTCTGAGTAGCCACTGAAATATTCTTGTTAAAATATCTTCCCTTATGTAACCATAGATGTGGCTGATCAGTTGTAGATAAAGAGATTCCATGTTTCCATGTCTTGAATTGGATCTTACGACCAGTAGTCTTTTATGTTTTACACTAGAACATTTGTGGCATAGGTAGAAATGTGAAGTCCTAGTGCATGCCTGAAAGTTTGCTTTTGTAGACCCTGTCCCTATTATATTCCCACCACTATCAAACTACATAGAGGGCTAAATGGTCAGGTCATCAGATGTGACAGGGCAATGCTCTATGTCCCATGTCATTTGACTTTCAGTCTTTCGGTGTTTCTGATTAGGATTTATTTCTTTTTTTCTCTTTTTCTTCTTAATTAACATAGGCCTGAAAGAAAAACTGAGCAGCCAATATGTGAAGAACATGAAGATGAGAAAATTAATATTTATTGTCTGAATTGTGAAGTACCCACGTGTTCTATGTGCAAAGTTTTTGGTGCTCATAAAGATTGCGAAGTTGCTCCCCTCACAAGTGTTTTCCAAAGACAAAAGGTAAAACAAATCCAGTTTCTGATCATAAATTTACATCAGTTGAACTCTAGCAGTCCCCTGACGGTCTCCCAACACTGTTGTGAGTTTGCGATATTGTCTCTCCTTTTTGGAAAAATTAAGCACTCACTAGTGCAGAGTAGTGATTATGTGGGAAATGCAGAACTGAGAGATGTCACCACTGTCACCTTGTTAAAGTCCTTTGCCCCCGCAAGATGTTTTTCTATAAATTCACTGTCTGTTGCTGCAGCTGGCAGACACATGATAGCAAGTACATTGATTGGAGAGCCTCCATAACAATCGCCTTCACCAGAACAACCAAGATATAAGGACAGCAGCTTGGAAACTCTCTATGGCGACAAGACCAAATAATGACCTGAAGCGCTTTCAGACATCACAGTTCTCGAAACTGAAGATGTGGAAGCATTTGCAGTGTTGTTCATCGCATGCCTGCTATAATGCATGAAGGATCACTATGACAAACACAACATGCCAAAGCAAACTCATTATCATCATGGCCAGCTCTAAGTTTGAGGGGATCCTCAGCAAAATGTCATTCATGACCTCCTCTGACACCAAAGGCTTATGCTGTGGCTAACGCAGGCAGCAGCATTATGACAAAATGCCATTTTGGTTTCCCACAATGCTCCTGACATAACATTGCTCCCACATATTTTGTGGAAGTGTAAATGTCAGCTTCCAGGCCACCCCCACTGAAGAGAGGGAAGGCTTCATTTTAATTTCCTAATGGGATTATGTGAAGTCAAGGCATGGGGGAGGGGGAAACTAATGCTTTCTTACTCAGCCACCCATCATTCATTGGATCGCTGATTAAAAGTGCAAGGCAGAAATATGTTGCCTCTGAGGTCCTTTGCTGACTCCAGCCTTGTTTATTATCTGTATAAACACACACACACAGAGAGAGAGAGAGAGAGAGAGAGAGAGAGAGGTTTTGAGTTACTATGTGTGTTCTTTCAGGTTCTGACTGACCTTTATTCTAGATGTGAGAAAGAGAACATACCAGTCAGTACTTTTTCCTTACTCTTCAATTAATAAAGGGAAATTTTATTTTGCCAATCATTTCTTGATTCTGTAATGCAAGACACAGTTACCGTATACTCCCAGAATCCTTTGCTGCCATATGTAAAAAGTTGTTTATTTTTAACCCAGCATTCACTAAACAGCTGTTTGTTTGGAATATCCTCATGAGAAAGGCAACTCAATTTCTTGAAAGCTTATTGGGGCTGCCACTAAACAGAGCCAGTTTACAAGTACAGACTTTAGATGGAATCCATAATTATAGTTGTTTGTGAATACGAGAGTTGGGTAAGCACTTTGGAGAAAACATCCTATTGAAATAAATTGATTGCTGACTGCGATTTCCTTCAATCTCCTTTCTGAGATAATTGATAAGAAATTGTGCTTAACAATTATTTATGGAGAGTATTGTGAATATGTCTATCAGTGATTAGATTCCAGCAAGAGACAATGTTTATATATATAAAATCTATAATAAAATCTAAAATCTTTCAAGAAGAGAAGACTCCCTGGAAAAGACCCTGATGTTAGGAAAGTGTGAAGGCAAGAAGAGAAGGGGATGACAGACGATGAGATGGTTGGACAGTGTTCATTGAAGCTACCAACATGAATTTGATCCAACTCCGGGAGGCAGTGGAGGACAAGGGGGCCTGGCATGCTCTGGTCCATGGGGTCACGAAGGGTCGGACACAACTAAACAACTAAACAACAACATGTGTGTGTACAAACCTTTTTTTAATCAAAAATTGGAGGACAATAGGGGAGAGGAAAGAATGAATGGAGGGGTGTTCTCCTGAGCCTGAACATCAAGCCCCAACTGTCTAAATCAGCAAAACACCACCTACAAACAACCCCCTGTCTTTACAATAGCATATTACAATTAATCACATGGGGGAAAGCCTATTGCTACAGCTTGAAAAAGTTAAAAAAAAAACCAAATAGCATGGGGGGAAAAGCCACTTTGGGAGCAGAAAGGGCTAGACTGATTCAAATCAGGATTTGCATCATGTGGTCAGTAAAAAATACTTCATCCTTTTTAGAAGCAGAGAAAATCCCATGTTAGTTGACCATGTAGTCACTGCCTAAGTAAGTTTTGCTTGAAACATGTTGTTGCTTTCAATTCATTTAAAACTATACTGACTGAATTGAGGAGGTGCTCATTTGCTCATTGAAGCACATGACCAAGATCTGCTTGTTAGTCACAACTATCACTGAATCACAATTAGCCACAACTAGTAGCAATCTTCCAAGACGGACAGGTCATAATGGAGAGTTCTGATTAAACGTGATCCACCTGGAGCAGGAACTGGCAAGCCACTCCAGTATTTTTGCCAAGAAAACTCCATGAACAGAAACAAAAGGCTAAAAGATATGATGCTGGAAGATGTGCCCCTCAGGTCAGAAGGCATCCAACATGCTACTGAGGAAGAGTATAGGACAGGTACAAGTCGCTCCAGAGCTAATGAAGTGGTTGGGCCAAAGCCGAAAGGATGCTCAGCTGGGGACGTGCCTGGAAGTGAAAGGAAAGTCCGATGCTGCAAAGAAAAATACTGCATGGGAACCTGGAATGTAAGATCTATGAACCTTGGTAAGCTGGACGTGGTCAAACAGGAGATGGCAAGAATAAACATTGACATCCTAGGCATCAGTGAACTAAAATGGAAGGGAATGGGCACATTCAATTCAGACGATTATCATATATATTATTGTGGGCAAGAATCCTGTAGAAGGAATGGAGCAGCCCTCATAGGCAACAAAAGAGTGGAAAAAGCTGTACAGTGTACTGGGATACAATCTCAAAAATGATAGATTGATTTCAATACGAATCCATAGCAGACCTTTCAACATCACAGTAATCCAAGTTTATGCACCAACCATCAGTGCTGAGGAGACTGAAATTGACCAGTTTTATGAAGACTTACAACACCTTTTAGAACTGACTCCAAAGAAAGATGTTCTTGTCATTGTAGGGGATTGGAATGCTAAAGTAGGGAGTCAAGAGATAAAAGGAACAACAGGTAAGTTTGCCCTTGGAGTTCAAAACGAAGCAGGGCAAAGGCTAATAGAGTTTTGTCAAGAGAACAAGCTGGTAATCACAAACACTCTTTTCCAACAACACAAGAGGCGACTCTATACATGGAAATCACCAGATGGGCAATACCGAAATCAGATTGATTATGTTCTCTGCAGCCAAAGGTGGAGAAGCTCTATACAGTGAGCAAAAACAAGACCTGGAGCTGACTGTGGCTCTGATCATCAGCTTCTCATAGCAAAATTCAAGCTTAGACTGAAGAGAGTAGGAAAAACCACTGGGCTAGTCAGGTATACTCTGAACCAAATCTCTTATGAATACACAGTGGAAGTGAAGAACAGATTTAAGTGTGAAACTTTAGAGAATTTTGGGCATTGCAGCAGGATCAGAAAATAGTCAGCAATGTTTAAAATTCCCCTAAAATATAACTTTATATTTGTTTGTTCTACATTATAGTCTGAACTCAGTGATGGCATCGCGGTACTAGTGGGAAGTAATGACCGAGTACAAGGAATAGTAACTCAGCTGGAGGAAACTTGCAAAACAGTTGAGGTGGGCAACACTGTTTACTTATCCCCTGAAATTTTTTTATTTAAATTATAACAATAACAATGATTTAATGTCATTATCATTAACATAATTACATATTTATTTTTGTTAACAAGAGCAAACAAAATATAGCTGACCTGAAACTTTTGATTTAATTTGGTCAAATGAGTCATCTTGTTTAGAGTGCAGAATAAGCAGAAGCTATGAATATTATTTATTTATTTATTTATTTTATTTTATTTAATTTAATATCAAAGATGTTTCCAGCAAAAGGACCCATAAGCCAAGGAATATGTTCCCAAGTTGCAGGTTCCCAAGTTGCCAAATTATCTATATCAAATCAATGTACCAAGGTATCGTTTTGCCTTCTCAAGGGCTAGGTTCAATTGCTTTCCCTCAGCCTTGTAAAAGGGCGGTTTAATAACATTCCTTATGGAGAAAGGATATGCCCCTGTGGGGAAGAAACAGTTGAGTCCCTGGCACACACCATTCTAGAATGTAGTTTATATAAGTCTGAACGTACCCATTACCTCTACCCAATAATGTGTAAATGCATTAGTATACCTCCCGCAGACTACCTTAAGTTTCTGCTGTCCGGAGAGAACCAATTAATATCACAGTCAGTGGCTAAGTTTTTATTCTCAGTTTTAAGAATCCGTAAAGTGTTGTGTTAAGATAGATGTATGATTCAAGTTTCATATTCCTGCTATCTTTTGATACCTAACTTGTTTTGTATATTTTATGTAATGTTTTTATCCTTGTACTTTTGGGTCTTTGACCGTACAATAAGTTCAAGTTCAAGTTCAAGTAGCTCTAGCATAGAAGTGGACTTCTCTATCCAGGGTTTGTATCCAAGAATTTCCAGGATTTCCTGAGAAGATATTTTCAAAGACATGGCTTTTTGAAATGTGGTTTATACACAAGTTCCAATGAGCCCCAGTTCTCTTTATATCAAACTATAATATTGGCCAATTAGGCTATGATTTTTGCCCTATCTGGACAAACTCAGGATATGGGAAGGGTCTGGTGGTTCAGGAGGGGCCCAGAAGTTGCACATATAGACTTGGAGGTCCTCATGCAGGCCATGGGCTGCACTACTTCTGCCTCTCCTTTAAATGTATATTATTTGGAGAAAACTACAGCACAGTCAACTCAAGATTCTAGAAAGTTCCAAAATGATAATGATAAAGGCATTGCTTCATAATGTGAAATAATTCATAAAGTTCTATTGGAAATTTTCAGCTCAAAAAAAAGCAGAACCATGGGATTCTAGACTACTGTGCAAAATATAACAGATATTTTAAAAAGCTAATTAGAAACCCCAACTCAATTACATATATTAGCTTTTGGAGTATTTGCCCCTCAAAAGCTTTTCTAGCCATGCATGATTATAATCAGTCAGATCCTCGCATACCTTTTTATTAGTCGGAAATGTGTTTTCATGAACATCAATTGCAGACTGAAAAAGCCTGTGCAGATTTATGGAAACTAAATATAGCTTACAAGTCTTTTTGCCTTGCATTTGAAATTAAAAGTAAAGAATCAGACATTCTATTTTAGCAACTGTGCCTTATTGAAAGTATTCAGCAAGCTGATTTAGGAAAGGTAAAAAAATTATTTCTACTATAACAAATAAGGCTGGAAACCCTCCCCCTCTTGCTGGTTGTTAAATGACTGTGACTCAAGCAGTGGAAAATATGGTGACAGGTTACATGTTTAACTAAGACGGGAAGAAAGCTGTGCTGATGAAAGCTGTGATGATGAAAGCCTTTGCATCATCACTTGAACTGATGTAGAGAGGTTTGTAGCCATTGTATTTAAGGCCACTCCAGCTGGCTCCAGCAGCAGTGGGAGAGGCAGGGCAGCAGGGAGAGTGGCTGCCATTGGAACCCTCTCCTCCTTGCACATGGTGCCTTGCTCTTCTTTCCTTTTCCCTTCCTGTTCAGTGCCTTTCCTTCTTTCTTTTTCTTCTAAAGGCTTGCTAATTTAATACTGGGGCAGCTGTGGTGACCAAAAGGAGGAGGGGAGAAGAGGGGAGGGAATTATAAGGCTGCTGTGATCTCACTTTGTGCATTCTGCAAATCTGGTTAACCAGAGCAAAGCAGAGCTACCTTAAGAAGCTGGATATAAAGGTGAAATTAAAACTTCAATTTTTTTCTGTGGACTCCTCACTTCACCCTCTCTGGTCACTTACTGTAGCAGGCCTAGCACTAAGAGAACAAGCTTAGAAAGAAAGAAAGAAAGAAAGAGCTGCTGTGATCTCACTTTGTGCATTCTGCAAATCTGGTTAACCAGAGCAAAGCAGAGCTACCTTAAGAAGCTGGATATAAAGGTGAAATTAAAACTTCAATTTTTTTCTGTGGACTCCTCACTTCACCCTCTCTGGTCACTTACTGTAGCAGGCCTAGCACTAAGAGAACAAGCTTAGAAAGAAAGAAAGAAAGAAAGAAAAGATGGGTGAAATTAAAACTTCAGTTTTTTTCTGTGGACTCCGCACTTCACCCTCTCTGGTCACTTAGCAGGCCTAGCACTAAGAGAACTAGCCTTGAAAGAAAGAAAGAAAGAAAGAAAGAAAGAAAGAAAGAAAGAAAGAAAGAAAGAAAGAAAGAAAGAAAGCTTAAAGCACTCTGGGCAGTTTACAAGTTAATTATGCAGGCTACACAAGAAAGAGAATGGGAAGGGAAGGGAAAGAAAAGGAAGGGAAGGAAAGGGAAGAGGGAAACAAGCAGACCTAGATACCAGGTGTATGGGGGACTGGATTCAAGCAGTTAACAAGCTGCAAACAAGGCTTATTTCTTCCCCTCTCTCTGTTGACTCCTGTGTGGCTTGCAGAAGCAAATTAACCCAGGAAAGCCCAACCTTCTGGGTACAACTTCACTGTGGATCCATTCACATCTTTCCTGCTGTGTAGTCACACTGTCACTGGGCTGACAGTTTGTCTTGTATCAGTGAATCCACTTCCTGAAACTGTGTAGAAAGATCTTAGTTTGTACTTTTTGGTATGAGGCATGAACAAAAAGGCCTCATGCTGGCTGCAAAGAATAAAATATCATGGCTTCTGAGATTTGTTTGGCCCTATACACTTTCTACTGATTGGTGAAAACATTTCCAGCTAGCTTTTGGTTTGCTGCTTTGACTGTGGTTTATATGACGAATCCTGTTTGGGGCTTTTATTTGCTATGCCTGTTGCCATTTTTGTGTTGGTTTGCTTCATGAAGGGACTGTTATACAGTATTTTAATGAGTGCTAAAAACCACCATAGTCACGTGAAAGCACCAGAAGGGCAGGATGTACATATATAAATTAATAAATAAAACTAAATATGAAAAACATTATGAAAGCTGTTTTCCAGAATCTGTTGGATTGTTCATGGATGCAAAGCCTATGTGAAGGTGAAAGGACTTAACATTTCAATTTCTCAATTTAAATGTGAAAAGTTGGGAAAAAGTGAGCACTGCATGGAAGTGAGTCATGGAAAAACATGATATTGCTGTTGGAGACTGCACTCATTTTTTAATATATCATTCTATCTAAATCTTTGAGGTCTTGGTTTGTTGCAAACTTCAGTGCTAAGGAGTCTCTACTTTAGTGTTGGTCAAATTTTTACAGTCAACTTACTTGAAAGGCTCCTTTCAGCCTGCAAACTCCTGATAGCAACCAATTTCATCCTCACAGTGCAAAGACTTTCTGACAAAAGCATTTTAACTGTTAGTATCTTAGGAGCGTTTAAAACTTTGAACCACCCTTTGTATATTATTTCCTTGCCTTTGCTTTGGTTACATAAAAGAGCATGATTTTTTTTGTTCAGTAGAACGACAAAGTATTTTAAATTTAAGCATTCTTTACCTCAGCTTTTTATTTACTGCCCTTCAGTTGGGGATAAAGGTGCAATAACTATAAGATATTTTCCTATTTTGGTAAATATTTAAATGAATGTACCCATGAGATATAGTTTCTGTCTGCATTTTGTTAGATTTATACTGTTAGGATTGAAATCTGAGATTTCATAATCTAAAACCTGAGAATGAGTGATAAACCACTATGGTGTTCCAGAGACTGGGCATGTAAGGGTCAGGATAGGGCTGGAACTGCTTCAGGACACTTGAAAATCTGGATGAATTAGCCTAGAATACAGATATGCATACACACACATACACACATATACACGGATACACATGCATATACATATACTGTACATATACATATACATACACACACACACACACACACACACACAGTACACATGTATATTACTGTATATGTACTGTATATGCCTCTGTGTATGCACACACATACATATCATGTTTATCTTGAGAACTTATTTTGAAAGAGACCTGCCTGAAAAATGTGAAGAAAGGAATGGCAGGTTTCAGATGCCGTTATTGACCTACCCAGAGTAAGTGTGCAGAGTCAGCAAACCAGGCAGTTTTCAGATTAAGTTCTCTATCCTTTTGGGAGTTCTGACTCCAGATGTAAAATGGTGGCAAGCAGCAGGTCATTAACCAAGGTCAAGTCGACCCAGCAAAGCAGGGAATTCAAGCCATAAACAAAAGCTATTCTACAAGAGAAAACCCGAACTTGTCTACACGCTGCTTGTTTCACTGTATCTTCCAATCTAAACTAAAAGGAACCAAGAAACTTTGGGATTTGCTGTTGTTTTTTAAAAATTTCTTTTAAGCAGCAATGCTGTGAGCGTTCATGTCTTTGGGCAACTTCTGAGGCCCAATATGCCAACAGGTTCTTTCATAGTGTTACAGTTGACTCCTTCAAAATGGGTCCGAGGCTCTTGGGACCACCATGTCATGACAACTATGAGACATTTTAATGGTGTCTCCAATCCATACAGCATTGATTTGAGAGTTATTGCTGCCCATGACTTTGGCAAGTTCAGGCCCACCAACACAGAAGTGGTCAGCAGGGGCTTCTTTTCCCAGGGCCCCCTAAAAGAATGGAGCTAACAAATCTATTACTTTGTAGGCTAAATCTACTGTTATCAGAAGAGGTGACCAGACAAAACTCCTGATAGAATTAGGTCCCTTCAGATATGTAGACAACACCATAGAAACCACTTCAGTCACCACCTTCCCTCCCAGTATAAAGGGATAATCAGCCTGACTGTTGATATTATTGGATAGAGTAGGATTGCTCACCAATGTTTGCATCAGTCCTGTAACTCATTGATTTTAGAAGGCTGCAGGAAATGATCTGGATAAAATTGGGGAGTGTCAAAGGTAGAACATGTGGATTTTATAAAGAATAGCACTGCTTTTCTCCCTCAAAATCCAGTCACTGATCATAGTTATTTACCTGCCTGTTTACATAGAACTCAGCTGTGGAGGTCTAAAGATGATCTTGAAGTCAAAGCCTTGAACCTGCAGTTCCCAAATTATCCTGCTAAGGTCCATGCAATTGCTCTGGAATAGGTAGACTATGGGTTTCAGCTCTTTTTAAAATTATTATCTGTTATTCCCAACCTACATAACCCCCCCCACACACACAGTGGGTATGAGCTAGTGTATCTGGGTTTGCTTATTAAACAGCAGTGCAGGTGGCTAATAATACAACCAAAGTTCTTAGACGATACCACTATGTCCAGGGTGGGCAGTTCATCCCTGCTGCTCTACAGATAGTCAAGTACAAAATTCTTGCACAGCTCCTGTATGGTATTGCGATCTGGATAAACGGTTTCAATCACTCCGTTGAAAGTGTTCTATCAAACTCACTGCGAATCCTATTCGCTATGCCAAGATGTTGCTCTTCAGCTGCTTTGCGTTTGGAGGCTGGCCTTCAATCGGTGGAATGTCAAGCCTGGTTGCATGCATTCCGATTCTGGTTGAAGGTGGTATATGCTCCCATAACCAGTGGGTATATACACTATTTACAAAAAGATGTCTTTACCAGCTCATGGCACAAGGGATTTACTAATAAATTACATCTCTTAGGCTTCTCTATGGACTTCTTCCTGAATCAGCCTCACGACAACATCAAGACAATGCTAGAGCTACTTTTGGACCTATTTTTAAAAAATATTTGTGAATTAGCTGAAAGCTTCTGATCACGAGCCTCACTGACTCAGAAATTAACCTCCCTTTGAAAATGTCACAGCTCTAAATTCTCCCATCCACCCCCC